GGGGGGGGGGGGGGGGCGTACCCTTGTGTTTTGCATGCCTTAGCGGTTAGACCATACCACACGTCCTCGAGGGGACGGAGCATTGTTCCCACAGGACCGATCACCGATGGCCAATCGTTCCTTCCTTCTTTGCCAAAGGTGGGTCAAAAGTATTTTTCCCTCGCCTATCTATCCTATCGTTATCACTTCACGCCTTTTCAACCCACTTGGCATGTCCCAGTACAGCTACCGTATTCTCCGGGCTATTTTATTTCATGCCTCAAACATCTCCCTGTATGTTCCATTATACTTTTCCCTGCTCAGTCGATTGGTTCGGGGGGGGGTGCTTAAGAGTTGTGCTTAATTTTCGGTTGAGAGGTAGACCGGGGACATTTTTCAGAGAGAGAGTACACCTGGTTGCCAAAGTTGAGAGGACTGTTGTGGGTTCCGGAGTGAGATCGTGCAGCGGACGGCACGCCTTGTGTCCAACATGCACGATTTAGGTCGTTTGCGTATTATATGGGGGTTGGTGGCGGATTAATTCTGCGTTGTCGTTGCTGCTCTTGCGGCCGCTTGTGTTCCTGGTAGCGACACAGTTTGTTTGTGTTTCCGTTTGGTCTGTCTCTGTCTCTTTCCTCACTCACTCACTCACTCACTCACTCGACCAGGTGAAGTTTTGGGACTTCGAGGTTGCCAACGGCAACCTAGGCCTGGTCCACACGCGCTCGCTGAAGGTCACCGATGACGTGCTCTGCGTCCGGTACTCGAGGCACAAGCAGCAGTCCAAGCTACTCCTAGCAGGTACTGCTGTGCATGGCAATGGGACACGACGAGTGTAACCGGGTCTTGAAAAACTTGCCATGTGGCGCTTTCGCCCTCGCCGACTAGGTAATTTGTAGACTACGGCGGCAGATATTTTTCTTTTGCGTCCTTTTGGTGTGTTCTCGATGCACTCAATTTTGTAGTTTGTGACGTCGTTTTGTAAATCCGAAGCCCCACCCCGCACGTTTGCAAAAGCAATCCGTTAGCGAATCCCGCGGAATGATCGTCGTTGTACGCATTCGACTTGCCGTCATTCTAAAAGTTTTGTGTCTAAATAGCAGTCGCCGTACGTCTCTTATTATTTTTTCTCCTTCTTCCCCACCACGACAGTGGCCCTCCTGGACAGCACGGTCAAGGTCTTCCACGACGACTCCCTCAAGTTCTTCCTGTCCCTCTACGGGCACAAGCTGCCGGTCATGTCCATGGACGTCTCCGACGACGGAGCCCTGCTGGCGACGGGCTCGGCGGACAAGACCGTCAAGATCTGGGGCTTGGACTTCGGCGACTGCCACCGCAGCCTTCTTGCCCACGACGACAGCATCATGGTATGTACGTGCGTGCGTGCGTGGTTCGGCGGCGGCTCGGACCGCCCTTGGCAAGAAGTTACGTTTTCTTTTTTATATAGAGAACAGGGAGGGGGGTACGCAGACCCTATTCCCTAACCCTAACCCTTACCCAACTTGCCCGATTGCATCCTTTCTCCAGCATGGGGGGTATTATAGCAGAAAAATACTGCGAAGGCTGCTGCGTGACGTTCGCACGGCGTGCTGCTGCACGTTGAGTTTGAGACGTGGGGTATGATACGTGTGTGGGAGCATGGATGGTGTCTTATTCCACGAAAACCTCCCCTTGTCTCGTGTTTTTTCCGTGGCGACGCTTGCTTTGTTCGGAAAGCGAAAGACATGATCTTGCTTCTCGTACAGTAGCCCTGCCTCTTTTTTCCTTTCGGAACGTTCTGAGAAAAGGAGGTTTCACCTGTCTCGAGTCTTTGAATGCAGTAGGGTTGGTAATTTCCGGGTAGGGTTTCGCCAAGTGTCACAGAACTCACGCAAGTGTTGGGTACGGTATATACATCCGGTACACCTTGTGCACGAACCCTACGAACCACACCCGTGGACATCTTCCTTTGGCCTGTCGCGTGGGTGCCGCAGGGCTGTCTCCCCTTTTCCCTTGGTCTCATCGCAGTAGCTGCCTGGCCCATGTTGTTGAAGACGCACGTCGCCCTGCCCCAGCCACAACTCCATTTCCAAGCTATTGTAGTGCCAGTTTTGTTTTGTTACCCTCCCCCGCTCACCATCTCTTGTCCTTCGTTCCGACGATGATGATGCATGGTGACGACACACCGTGCTGTGCACCCCGCTGCCACGCTCGAACTGAAAAAAAAAAAACTGCGCAGAGCGTCCGGTTCGTCCGCGGCACGCACTACCTATTCACGTGTTCCAAGGACAAGACCGTCAAGCACTGGGACGCAGATCACTTCGAGAAGATCCTCACCCTCAAGGGTCACCAGTCCGAGGTGGGTGCGGGGGAATGGGGGGGGGGGGGAGGGTGCAAACAGTGACAAACAAAATAAGCGTCGTTGGTTTCAAAGCCTTTTTTCTATCCCGCGTACTGCTGTGCTGCTGTGTGGACAGACAGACGCCTGGGGCTGTATTTCTACCTTTCGGTATGCTTTTTTTTTTTTTTTGGGGGGTGTGTGTGTGTGTGGGTGTGGAACGGCCCGGGCCGCTCAGACTTTTTTTTCTGTGTGTGCTGTTGTTCAATTTCTTTTTCGCGAGGAGAGCTATAAAGTTCTTCCTTCGCCGGCGATGGTTGCTGCTGTATTTGACCACCAGAGACTAGCCCTCCGAGGCACCAGGCGGAGCTCGGAGGGGGGTATGCACAGGTATATGTGGTAATTTAGTTTGTCTTCCACTCGGTTGTTTTCTGGTGGGTGCCAAGCACCCTCGAGAGGCACCAGTTGGACGGAGTTGGTGTGACGTGAGTTAGTTCAGTGGTGTTCGTTATCGAAGGGCCGCTAATATCACGCTTCCTTTGGGGCATGCCATGCCAGTGTCTTTCCCTTGCGTGCTTGGTTCGAAAATGGTGTTGCGGAGAACTGACAAAGTACCCCGTCTGCACCCATCGACCCCCCGCTGCCGCGCGCGCGGCGGGTTCAGTTCCGCTTCGGCAAGAGGAAGAGGTTGACTTTGTCATTGCGTACTGGCGTCCGACTCGCGTTCTTTTGTGATGCACACAAATCCAAAGGTGTTCGTTGCGCGTACCTTAGCTCGATGCTTTTCCTTTGCAGATGTGTTCGCGTGCGTTTACACAGTTTGTCGTCCATCCTTGCGTGTCTATCCTTTTTTTTTTTTCCTGATATAAAAAATCACAAACAAGTACCATCTATTTTTTGTGCCCCATGTGCTCGCTCGGCCACGTGAATACAACACCACCGCAGGCGTGGACGCTAGAGGTGTCCCCGGACGGGTCGTTCGTGCTCTCCGGCGGGCACGACCGGTCCCTCCGGCTGTGGCGCCGCACGGAAGAGATGGTCTTCCTGGAGGAGGAGCGCGAGAAGGAGATGGAGGGGCTCTTCGAGAGCGAGCTCGACCGGGACGATGTCGCCGCGCCGGGAGCCGACGGCCTTGCGCTCCCTGCCCCGCAACGGAAGCCAGAAGGTGTGTGGGAGACGGGGATTGGTAGGGGGGGGGGGGGGGGGGGGGGGCCCCTTTCCCCTGGGGTTTTGCGGGCGTGGGGGGTTCCCCCCTTGCCCCCGGTGGGGGGGGGCCGGTTTTTGGGGTTTTCCCTCCCCCCCCCCCCTTTCCCCCCGGGGCGGGGGCCCGGGGTTCCCCCTCCCCCCCCCGGGGCTGCCGGGGGGGGGGTTTTTTCCTTTTCCGGGCCCCGGGGGGGGGGGCCTCCCCCCGCTCCGGGGC